CCGCCCGCCCGCCGTGGCGGGATGCAGAGGTAGCGGGGCGGCTGCCTGGCCCCGCGGGCGTTCGGTGGGGCTCGCGCCGGCGGTTAGGATTTTGCCCCGAGCGGATGCGTGTGCTCCGTAGCTCCCGGGGCCGCTGAAGGGTGTTTGTGCCCAAAACAATTTTATTTGTTTTTAATTTTTTTGCAAAACCCTCGTTGGTCGGATGAAGGCGGTCACCTCTACACGGGTGGGTCCCCGGGCAGAGCCTCTCAAACCGGTTTCATCGCAGACTCCTGCCCGCGAAAGGCCTCTGACACAAAATCGATGCTTGCTTTATTTATTTATGTATTTATCAAAACATGGGCTTGCCTGAGCTAATCGCTCCTATAAATTATTCACTCGGTGTTACAGGAGCGGCGCTGTCGGCAAATGGTAGCGTCTCGCCGGGTGCGGGCAGGAAGATGTTACCTATTCCTTTTTCTTTGTGATCGCCCAAGAGGTAGCCGTGGCAGGATGGATCCGTCCCAGGGACTTTGGAGATGGCCTTTCGTATGTAACACAGGAGATAGATGTTTGTCAGAGAAAATCTTTTCAGTAGATGGGCACAGACCTCCTTATGTTTCTTCCCTGTGTCGTGTTGGTGCCATTGAGCATTTATTGAGACATCGTTGATTATACGCGTGTAAGTCGCACTGGTTTCCCAGGTCTGCTTCCTCCTCCTCCTCTCCTTACTGTGGGGACTTTGTCAGAGGCCCTCCTTGCCCTTTTCCTGAAGTGAAGTGCCGTGGCGTGATGTGAGGTGTCCTCTTGCACCTTGCGCTTGAACAGAGCAGTCCCTGTATGCAGTGTTACCTAAAGGAGAAACCTAGGGTCTCCGCCTCCAGGCTAACGCTAGCGGTGGGAGTAAATTGCCGTTGAGCTGGAAAGCGCAGAACAGCTGTGCAGGCTCGTTGCCCCGATGGCTAGTTCTTCTAGCGCGGGTGCGATGGCGTTAGCCTGCGCAGAAGAGCTTGTTCTGAGTTCGTATCTCTCCCTTGGTCGGCAGTCATTTGTGCTGTGCCGAGGCAAGCCTCCCCTTCGCTTTGTCCAGCACGAGTCATCCATGCTGCCTATATTGTGTTTAACTTATTTACGTTTTAGTGCTTGGGAAAAGGTGTAGGGTTGGACACGGGATTCTCCTGTGGCTGGGGAGATGCGATGCCTGCTTTGTGTATGCCTCTGCTCTCCACGTGCAGCTGGCCTTTGGGGAGAGCTCTCACGCTCTGCCATTGCAGTCCAGACCTACTCTGAGCAGAAAGCACTTCGCTCTTGCCGTGCTCTTCTCAAGTGGGGACGTGGGCCTGTGCCTGCTACAGAAGAGCAGACTGTTTGGGTCAGAAATTGAACACTACTTCTGGAGTCACTGAGTGGTGCAGAGCTCTGCCTCTCGGCTCAAGCGCTGTGACTTTACTTGCTGGGTAACACGTGCCTGGGTTAATTTGTTCCCCAAAGCTCCCACAAGATCCTTTCTGTACCAAACTGTTTGTAAGTCCTAGAGTTTAAGCCAGAGGAGACCTCTGCTACTGCCTAGCCTGGTCTGCCACCAACCCATGTCACAGCATTTCTTCCATCCTTCCAGCAGTGGCAGGATGGCAGGCTTTAATGGGACCTTGCCCTGAAGGTGAATGTTCCTGACCACCTATAGGAAGTTTTCTTTTACTTCCCTCCTGCTCCCCCCAAGTGAC